GGCAAACAAAGGCTAAGCCAACATAGTTATCCGATTTAGATCCATCGGTGTATATAGGAATTAAATTCCTGTTATGGTGTTGAATTTCTGCGAAGTGTTGTCTATAGACGTAGTCTGGCGTGGTTTCTTTAGGGAACTTCTTTTAACAGTGGTCAAGCTGACTTTGTTATAAGAGATTTCTAGCTGCGAATTATTGGCAGCTGCTTTAGCTAATGCGTCAGCTCTTTCATTCCCGGCCAAACCATGATGTGCCTTAGTCCACATTGATCTAGTACAGTAGTACTTTTAGCTCTAGTCGTTCATGATCAAATAGTATGCAATCAAAAAAATAATGCTTGGAACCATCTATCACAAGACAAGTAGGGCATTGGTCAGAGTTTCTATCAGTGGACCTAACACGATATAAAGCATCACCATAGATGTATTCCATCCCCTCTTATCCAATAAAGATTTAGAATACACTGGAGCCACATGTCAGCACATTACCACCTGTCTAAAAGAACATCGAGCTGACATATAAGAAAGCCTATTAACCACCACCCTATCGACATATACCAGGGACCCTGATGTGAAGTTACTTAACGTGCTGCACAACACAAAATGTAGGTTTGTTTACACAAGTTAGGGTTCAATGTAAGTATCAGGCCTGGACTTTATGGGAACAAAATATAATAATCCAAAACACATATATACAAATCCACAATAAATATTTATTAAATTAATCAGTAATGAAATAAATAACAATGATCAATTATAACAAGAGTTAGTAAGAGTCTATATTTCAAATATTCAGAGTCAAGTAACAAAAATAAACAATTAATCAAAGGAAATCTTTTCTCATATATATAAATAAATATCAAATAAAATTCAAATCTCCACCGAAAAAAAATAATTGAACAAAGTATAAGTTTCTTACACTAATTGCTTATTAAGAACACCAGACAAGTCGCTTCTATGACGAACGCTGTCGGGACCTACACCACACTGCTGAACGGACATGTCATCTTTTATCTGATTCTGAGTGTAGCTCCACACTACCCTATTTACATGTTTACATGTGTGTGCATCAAGGGATCAGTCACTGATGCAAATTAGTATCTTTTGCATTTTTCTTTTTTGATTTAACACATTGGGGGTTTATTAGGAGTTTCCATCCTCAATAAAAACAACAACAACCCCAAAATGAAAATATCTTACTAAAAATAAAGCCCAAAACATCAAATAACAAGTGGACTTCGACTTCTTACAGGTCCATTTTAATCAGCCCAGAATTATATACATAACAGCAGATAACTCATATCAGTTATCCAGAGTTAATGGAGCACTACATGGTGGCCCAACCAAACGTCAAAAGCCATCAACTATAAAGAGGACAGTGCAATCCTGAACCCATGGAAAATATATATAAGTTTAGCAGAAGCACATTCCACCAATCAGCGTATCAACTGCTATCCTCTAATCATCGATAACTACATAAAGTTTATATGTTCCAAACATGTGATTCAAATTTTAGAGCACTAGCCTGAGGATGTCATTTTTAAAACAGACAAAAATGTTCACTTCTCAAAGTCAGTAGTATTTTTTTTTTTCTATTGCCGGTTCTTTGGTTTTATTTGTTATTAGACTATACAGTGGGTGATAGGTTAACGAACACTTTCGCGAAAGATTTTTATGATTGGACAACGAAAACATGTTTGAATAATGAACACTTCACTGAACAAAAACAAACATAAAAAGAAGCAACAGAAATAGCAAATACGAATTGATTTTCCCTTGCCTTCAGGTAACAATTTGAAACTTTTTGAAGCACAGTCAACATCAATGTTCAACCCGATATATACTGATCAAATGATATTCCTCAAACTTTGAAATACTTCCTTGTAATTCCAGCCTTTTATTTTTCTGACAGAAACAATTCTTTTATAGTATTCGCGAGACTGTCAGGTGGGCACTCGTTAAGTTTTACACACTTTTTATTTTCGAAAGGTGAGAGTATAATAGCGAAAGTAGAGAGTGGACAGAAGATGTCTGATGTTGCTGGGCAGTATGGCTTGAACAAATCTACAGTAGGACATAGTTCAATCTTATCTAAAAAAGATACAGTATAACCAAGAAGACTCAAGCAGCTAAAGGAGTAACAAAAATTACATCTGAGAAATAAAGAACATTGAAGAGCTTATAATGGAACCTGAAACAGAACTTACAACAGAAGAACGCCAAGAAACTCAGCAAAATATGTTTTATTCTGAAAAAGAGGATTAATGCCAATATCTGCTATTAATTAAAGATCTTTTGAAGAAGCAGAGGATGTCAGATCAATGGTATTAGAATGGCATACAAACCAGGTTGAAGTTAATAGGCTTGGGATCTGTACAAATACAATGCTATTAACTACTTCTGAAAATCCTGAAGAGAGAAAAGCAATCAACATTAGACAGATTCTTTAACCCCCACAAACAGAAACACATAACTAATAAAAATGCAAGACTGTATATATGTATTTTTATTATTACATATAAATGTAGTAAGAAAATAATTTTTATTTTTTGGGGTTGCCAGAACAAATTCATCAAATTCCCATACAGTCCTATGGTAAATTGATAATTTGTTAATGAACAATACGAATAGCGAACAAAGTCTTGGAATGGATTATGTTCGTTAACCGATCACCCACTGCATATATACATTTGTTTCTTATAAATGAAGGCATGTCAAATTTTGCATCTATAAACAATGCATGTCATTTTCATTTTTCTTTTTTAAAGGATGTTTATTACTGAAATGTATGTCTATTGCATGTATGTATATATAATGTATATATCATGAAACTTCAATTCAGTGTCACCATTTGCTTGCCTCTGAAATTGGTCTGAAATTAAGTGTGAAGCTAAATTTAAGTATATAATAAAAATAAAAACCATTCAACTATCCAGCAAAATTCTTTAATAATTTAAAAACGTTTTCAAACGCATTAAATTATTTTTAAATTATTAAAGAATTTTGCTGGATAGTTGAATGGTTTTTATTTTTATTGATTTTATTCTCCAGTAAGCAAGTATACTATTAAATTTAAGTATTTTAAAAAAATAACAATTCTAATTATATATAATAATACTGTATGTAAGAAGCAGTCCTTAAAATTAAATCAACTCTAAAAATTCCAAGTTAAAAAAATACATGTTTATTCAATTACTCAAACTGGGTATACATAAATACGAACTACACACACAACCAATATCCAGCAAGAAAATACATCACTATTGTGTAAAGAATCTTCACACACCGAATTAATGTAAAATAATCTCTTAAACCTTTAAATGGTGGGAAATATGAATAATTGTCCACGCAAACGTTTTCAGATCCCTCCTGGGTCCTTTTTCAAGCTACGATTCGTTTATGGACGAATCGTAGCTTGAAAAAGTATTGGATTTAGATAGTAAATTGTTTTCCATAACATCTGATGACACTCCAGCTATGAGGAAAAACTGTTGGATTTGTGAAACTAATGGAAAATCAACTTGGCCACGCACTGTTATCATTTCATTCTATTATACTTAAAGAAAATTTATTTACAAAGACATCTATGCAACAACTTAAAGATGTAATGGAAAAGGTTGTTAAGATCATAAACATGATAGTAGCATGATCAGCATTAGTACACAGATGCTTCAAAGCTTTTTTGATGGAAATTGAATTGAAATATGGAGATTTGCTGTTACATTTGAAAATACATGTACAATGGTTAAGTCTAGGCATAATTGTTAATACATTTGTAGTGTTTTGATGAGATACAAATATTTATTTGCGAAATCAGTGAACATTACCTTGGACTCAATGATAAAGAATGGTTTTTAACACTTTTGTTCTTAACAGACAGACATGAACCATTATAATGATTTCAACCTATGACTCCAAGGAAATAACCACACAATTTTAAAAATGTATGAGGAATGGAAAAGTTGTTCTTTGAAATTATTACTACTTGAAACAGACATAAAAAAGAAATAATATTGTTTCTTTCCCTTGGGCAATATGGAAAAGAAAATATCGACGAGGGCAATCTTAATATGTTTGAAACTTGGATTTTGTGCATTAAAAGTGAATTTGAAATTTGATTTCAAATTTTTAAGAAGCACGGCAAAACGTTTACTTTTATAATAAAGCCCAACGAAATAGAAGAAAATGTTTTAGATTTGCAGTTTTTTTCAATATTTTAAAGTAGACAGTTTTAGTTTAGAAATTATTCATTTTAAAAGTTCAGCATTATGGATGGATAAATTCAAGACATTGCAAACAGATTTGAAAAAATCAGACAATTATAATCTTTTCATATCAACATGTTGGGCATCACTTCCTATGAAGTTTTCATCTCCGAAAAAAATTGGCTTTGCCATTTTGTCTGGATTTGGTTCAACTTAAAAATGTAAGCAAATATTTTCACACATTTAATTTATTTTAAGTAAGAACGACAGCAGCTGAACTACCATAAACTCAGATGCTTCTATTCGTCTTAAGATGACTGACTATATGCCAGACTTGACTGAATTGACGTTCAGCATCAAAAAATTTCTATTCAAATTCTATTTCGAAAAAAACATCAGTTGGCATGTACTTAGTGAAAACAAAAAATGTAATGAAACTATTTTCAAAACAAAACCTGAAAATAACTGTTACTAGATTACGTGGCATCTGTGAGACACCTAGTGACTTTTTTTGGCTCAATTTTTTCCAAAATTTTTCAAAAAATTTTGAAAAACTCAAGTTCTCCATGCTGCGAAAAATGCAATAAATAAGGTTTCCATTGCACACCGAGTTTACTTGCAAAAAAAAGTAAAAAATGGCTGGCATCTCATGGACACCTCGCGAATGTTTGGGTAAAGCCCTGGTCACACTATGCGATTTCCAGCCACACAGGCGACTGCAACCGCGACGGCTGTTCCTGTTAACTAGTAATCCCCCCTCGAAAACCAGCGCAACTGCAACCTCAAGTAGAAACAAAAAGTTTGTTCTACTCGCGACGGTTGCAAACGCGCATCCAATCAGCAAACGCCTTTGAGCCATGTCATACGGTGGCAACATTGAAAATAGTTCATTATCATGGCGGATAACACGTGTATAGAATCCAGGTTGATCGAACTTATCCAGTCTTACGAATGTCTGTGGGACTTTAATTCTTCATTTTATCGAAGAAAAGATAAAAGAGCGCAGGCATGGCGTGAGATAAGTGAAAGTCTCGGCGTTGATTGTAAGTACCATTTTTAGATTTCTGGATATAAAATGTTGATTGTTTTTAGTTCGGTAATGACGATATTATTTTAAATATAGCTAAAGAACTAACTAAAAAATTTCACCATCTTCGAACGACGTTTTTGAGAATTAAAAAAAATGTAGACGACAGCAGACGAAGTGGATGTGGTGAACACGAGGTATATAAACCAACGTGGGAGCATTGGTCGTCTCTGAGTTTTCTTTTAAATTCGTACAAGAAAATGATATCACCGCTGTCGTCATACGATATAATTATATAAGTTATATATATTTTATATATTAAAGTAGGTAAAAATTAATTAAATACAGTATAACCTATTTTTATTTATAGTTAAATCAAACACAACAATCCACTTCTGGCTGCATATCTGATGAGGCAGAAGAAACAAATATAGTAGATGTACATTATGATAATGAAATGTTTAATGAAAGTATTTCATTGTCACCATGTACATTTGATGCACAGCCACCAAAAAAGAAAAAGAAGATGGGAGGAAAGGAGAAAGAAAATTTTTATGAATGTGCAATGAATGTAAGTTATTTCAAAATGTATACTGTAATTTATTTATTTATAGTTTACAACTCAGAGTGAACATCTAAAAAACTCAAAATTATTGAGTAAGTGTTCACTTTAATAACTGATACTATAAATATTACACAAATACAAAGATGATTAAATCATATATCTGCCTTTTCATTTAAGATTGTTTATTAAATATTTTTTCAGGCTCTCTGTAATGAACCAAGGAAGGATGTGTTTGATGAATTTGGCAGTATTATAACTACCAAACTACGAACACTTCCTCAGAAAAATGCCTTAGATTTGCAAATAAAGATATTTTCGCTTATTATAGAAGAAGAAAAAAATATTATGAATAATAATTAATTAATAAAAATCTTTAATTTATTGTATCAAAGTTGTATTTCTTAACTCAAAATAGTGTATCATTTATAATGACATAATTATAATAATTCCAAACTTCTTAAATATTTTCACATTTCACATTTATTATCTAATAATATTATAAATAAATTAATTTCATCTCATTGCCATTCTACTTGGCCTACAGTATTAAAATAAGTTTTGAATTCATCACGAATTGCTTTTGCTGCTGCTGTTGATGGATTTAAATTTCGACTGTTGTTGCTCTCCAAAGTTCTCACTGGTAGTAGCTGCGAGATAAGATTTTATTTTTCTTTCCCGTAACATATTGTGAAGAACACAACATGTTAAGATGATTTTTGTAGCCTTATCTGGAGATAATAAAATCACAGTACTGAAGACTCGCCAAACAGAAGACAGGATCCCAAATGCATTTTCAACAACTCTCCTTGCTCTTGATAATCTAACAATAATTTGAATTAAATTAAACAGTTTTTATGACTTATACACTAATAATAATAAATTGTTTTAAATAATTAATATATTAAATAGTTCTTTTACCTATAATTGAAGATGGATTTCTCAGCTGTCAACTGTTTCATTGGATAAGGCCTCATTACTCGTGAAGACATACCAATTCCTTCATCGGTAACAAATACATATGGAATTGGCTGTCCTCCACTTTGAAGAGGACTATCTGGTGGAAAGTTTAACTTTCCATCATCAATAGCCTTCTTCAGATTTGATGCATTCCAAATTGAAGAATCGCTCTGTCTCCCATTAGTGCCTGCATCCACATATATAAATGACAGATCTGCACGTACTATTGCCATCATAACTACGCTATAAATTCCTTATTTGGAAAAAATAAAACTTTAGCAAACAGAATAACTGGATACAACCTCAAATAATTGACTAATAACAGAAATACTACCTTTGTAGTTATAATAAGCAGATCCAGATTGCTTAGGACATATGATCTGTACATGTTTTCCATCTATAGCACCAAGGCAATGAGGAAATTGCCACATTTCATCAAATTCCCTAGCAATATCTTCCCATTCACATACTGTAGATGGTACCTTAGAAAAATAAACAATTTTAAATTAATGTAGCCAATATAATAATAAAGTTAAAAATCAAAATAATATGAAGTTCTTTAAGAACATTTGAAATAAATTTTTTCTGCACAATTTTCTTTTCAAATTAACATTATTGAGATATACCTTGTGTTGTATATTTGTCAACATATCTGGATAGTAACATTTGTATTAACTCAGTTTTAATACATTTAAATTTAAATGCTATATTTGATATAAATCAAATCTGCATTTATGAAAGTTATTGTTAGATTTATTTTTAAAAATTTGATTGCATTTAATAATATACAATTGAATATTAAAGAAATATAATGATTATATTAAAGAAAAAATATGTCGATTAAAAATGAATTAAATCAATCAAGCTTTTCTATGAACAACACTTACCCTCAAATATTCACTTTTATAAGATTGATAAATAGCATCCAAAACTTCTGGGATAATAACTGATATTGAATTATGCGCCACTCTAAATTGGTACGCTAAACTACGAAACGTTTCGCCTAAATTATATATGAACCATTTTAATCATAAGATTGCATAAAATATAAATTAAATACAAAATATATTATATTCTTACCGGTAGCTAAATAACGAAGTGTCAACGAAAGACGTTCTCCGGGTGAAATAGAGCTTCGAAGATGTGTATCTTCTTTAGCTATTATTGGTGTTATCCTCCTTAAAATACTTTGGAAAGTATTCGTATCCATACGAATATATCCCCTATAACCTTCAGCATCTGAAAGCCTTAATTCGTTCATCAGCTGGTGGAAGCAAGATTGTTTGGCTCGTTGAATTTCATTGTGCCAAGTTTAAACCCAGCATGAACGTTTTTTATTATTTTTCTCTTCGTATATTCTTGCCAGCTCTAACAAAATTATCGCCTTCTTTCTTTTATTCATTCCAGAAAAGGAACTGCTTGCCATTTTAATAAGAAAAGTGGCTAAAATGTCGTTAAATACTCTAAATTAGAACGTAAAATGGAGGTAAACTCACGAAGGTAGTCAAAAACGAGCTACTGTAATTTTATTGGCTTATTATAGGGTAACGTGTTTCCGAGTTGCAGTGTCAACGAACAATGTGTGACCACGAGAAAATGCACGCGACTCGCGCTTGTTGCAGTTGCAGTCGCCTGCGCGGCTAGAAATCGCATAGTGTGACCAGGGCTTAAGAAAAATTCAGAAAAAACATGTGGGGTGCTGTTGATCGTGAGCATTTCTTTCAATCTCAATTCTTCTCCCTCAAAAGATTTTTTCTTTTTATTTCAAGTTAGTTTTGGGCTGTAATTTTAAAACTTGTAGACCCATAAATTCTCATTGTCCATCAGTCTGCCTGTTTTTTTCTTAATTTCAAAAATAGTGTTAGATAAATAAAATCCGAGACAAAATCTGGAAAGTTTAGGGGCAAAGACCTCGATAGACTATGCAAACTTTTGATCTGGACTGAAAGTGATGTGATTTTGATTCCTAATTTTCCATCTATACCTTTTAAACTCAGAGTAATTAATTGCAGTATAAATTCAGTTTATTTAGACATTTTTGTTATAAATCTTCCTGAAAACGCAATGCCTCTCGGCTACCTCGTTAAAGATTATGTGAGTATGTACTAAAAATCATTCACGTGTGTTCACAAAGTTGCTGTTTCCTCTCGTTTGATAGAAAAAGGATACATCTAACTTTTCAATTTTTGCGACTTTTTTAGAATTTTATATTTAAGTATTATTTTAAATTTGTATAACATTTAACAATTGTAAACACTGAGATTTGTGTGACAAAAATAAAAACAGATCGATTCTTCATAATTTTGAAGCAAAATATCGCAAATTATTATACTCCGTAGAGTCGCATTACACTCTGCAAAAAGTCCTGTTGTCGCACACAAGAAAAAATAGTAACAAAAAATATAACATTTTGCTAATGCAAATTATGCTAATTGTAAATTTTTGCTGATTGTGAAACAATTTCATTTAGGCATTGTTGCAAACATATTTTTTTTGATGAAATTCTGAGAATATTTTTAGTTATAAGAAAATTAATTTATGCATTTGGTATCATGTTGTAAATTGCCGAAATTTCTATGGTCCATTCAACTATCGTCTTATCAGCGGAAATATATGGTAATTATTACATTTAATATGAGATAGCAACTAATGCCTCCCTCTTGGAATAAATTTATCAGTATTTAACCCAGCATTTCTCAAAGTGGGCAATGAGTAAATCTAGGGGGGCGCTGGAGGCAGGGTATTGAACAGTGACCAAAGGCAAAATTGGGGTCACTGAAAGCTGTTCCCTTCCCTCTGTTAAAATGATAAGAGGAAACATTGTGTTTAATGGTTTCCAGATGTTGAGAACAATGTACGGTAAAGGCACAAAGTGTGAGATTCATAGAAAAGTTTTCCTAAGAATATTTCCAATCCTTTCTCACACAAGAGAAAATGGGTTAGGGGCATTGGGTATAACTTTATGGAACAAAGGGGTGGTGGATCGAAAAAGTTTGGGAATCACTGATTTAAAATTATTATCACCTATATGTAGCTTGATGTTATATGGAAGTCGTTTTAGCATTATTGTAATGTGTCTGATTCTGTAAGATGTTTAAAAGATACCTTATTAATGTTGAAATTGGCTGAAGAAATTTTATGCCTTACAAAAATCAGTGATGCTTTCATTTGATAAAGTCAAAATTAAAGCAATTGAGGAATATGTCTCTGCAGATGAGATCCTACAATCTTTCAATCAAATGCAAATCAGGGCAAAAAACTTTAAAACTTTTAAAATTGAAAGCTATCTGTTTATATTGGGTTTGATCATAGAATGCACTTTTGAGTATGAAATGGAATAGAGTTCTGTTGTTATTTTTAAAATAACAACAGAACTCTACTCCATTTCATATAATGTAGTAACTTGTGTCAATAACTGTAGCAGCAGTAATGTAAGTTTATGGTTATTTGGGGAGTCATGTTAAAAAACTTAAACATTTAACCATCAGAAAAGCCAGTGCAAAAATATTAATAATTGACAGCTCAGCATCTATCAAATACTGTGGCTATGGCTCTTTTACATTACCTTCCCGGTACAGACAAGAAAATGGAAGAAAAATTAGGAAGTTTTATTAGAAATGTTAAATACGATAAAAACTGCTTAGGCAACCACCTGCATTCGACGGGCATCTGTCAAAACAGGCATAAACTTCTGGCACCGAATAGTTTATCCATAGAGTTTTCGTATAAGTTACCTGTAATAAACAACCACCTGTGTAACACAACCGCGGGCATTAATTTTTGGTCCGAAACAACATACAACTGTAATAAGCGACCACTTCCACAAATATATCTGGTCTAAACTATTGTTCAACATTTTCCCCCTCCTAATGTAATAAATTAGTCTAAACTCGCGTTCAAACCCACCTTGGGCACTTCTCCCACCCTTGAAATTAGGTGCAGGTGTTAATGAATTAGTCTAGCAACAAAGGAAATTCATTTCAGTTTGTTCCAAATTGTCCGAAAAACGAAAGAAATGCAAAGTGCTGTTGTTAGAAGATCATGTTAAAGTTATCACAACAGCAATTAGTGGCAAAGTTTAACTGTGGGAAAACAAAATTGATTTTACTATAGACATACAGTATTTTCCTTGAGGGTATAAAATATTATACACGATACAATTAATCGACTGATCTCATTGTTTGATAAAATTTATTTTTATTTATTTATTTAGAAGCTCATATACAGTACCTGTGCGATATAGTTTCTGTATCAACCTATCTTATTTCGATATTTTTAGAAAAATAATATCCAAGTAATTTTCACACACAAAATATTCAAAAAACAATAGATGCATTCATGCAAAAATCTGTTTTACAGGCAACCTTCCTTTTTCGATTCCGCAATTTTCATTGCGGAATGTAATGAAATCGTATATTGAATACAATCGTACCCAGCAAAAATAAACAAATAACATAACCAACACCTTATTGTTTGCTGAGGGAGTTTTATTAAAAACAAACGTTTTCGATCAACTTAATGGATCATCATCAGGCTATAACATACGAAAATGGAATAAATCATAAATGGAACAATAAGTTCAAATATTCAAAAATATCAATAAACTGATAACATATCAATTAATAATCGTATACAGTAAGGTCTCTTTTTATGCGGATTATTTTTATGCGATTTTGAAGTTGTGCGGTTTGTATTTCATCCAAAAATTTCTTGGACAAACATACATATAGGCTTGTTTAGGAAGCCCACGTATAGACAGTCTCCAAAAATCGTGGAACGCTCAAAGCTCACTCCATTTGTTCCACTGACATATAACGTTTATGGATGTAAAGGACAGCTAGATCTACCTTAATCGCTTTAGTTCCTAGCAATTTTTGATATAAATGTAATTAAACATAAAAAATACTTAAAACTGAAAAAAAC